CAGTCTGCATTAGCTGTTTGAAGGAGCTGAAGTTGTCAGCCTAGACTCCTTCATGAGACCTGATTCCTTTTCCAGAGATGGAAAAAGAACGTGCCTTTATTTCTAAAGTTTCTTTTAACAGCCATCTATCAAAACACTTTTTATTCAAATTGAGTTCCACGATTTAAGAACTATTCTTAATAATCATATCCCTCTTTATTTAAGTCAGTTGTTTTTCTTGCTTCCAGCTAAATACAGTCCAAGTGTTATAAATAAGTGGAAAAGCCCTTAGTAAACTGCACAGTATTAAACAGTCTTTAATGGTCACTAAAAAGCCCAGGGGGGAAGAAACCCCGCACTCCTTTCACACAAATGATGAGGACAGTGCTCCGGCCGGGCTCTTGCTGTTTCTGCTTTGTTTTTGGTTTACGGTGTTGCTCTCGTTGATGGAATCTTCTACCCTGGCACATGGAGCACACGCACAGGGGGCGCATTAAAGCACCGCGTGCTGCCCACCACGCTCGCCACACCGCGTGCAGAGGTGGTGGCTGAGTGAATGAAGTTGGGGAAAGCCGACTTCCAGGACGAAAATTTTCAAAGCTCCTCAGACTGATCCCAACCCCACCATAGCCCACCACAACACCCCACACAACCTTAAGAAGTGTCAGTTAGAATGTGCTAGATTTTCACAGAGGGAACCTCCGAGTCATGTGTAGATGGGGTCTGGGGAAGTGTAGGCAAAGCAGATATCCAGCTTCTGTCCCCAGTGGTGAATGTGTAGAAAAAAATAAGCTAATGGCCCCCAACAGGAGCAAGAGGGACCTACTGAAAGAGCAGCAGCAGCCCCCAATAGGGTAGGACACTAAGGGGATGTGTTGACATGGAGGGGCAGGCATTTTAGTTTTAGCAATGACTGGTTGGTGTTATCAGCATTTAGTGCACTAGAAGCAGGGGTGGTATATTCTATGATTCACAGCAGAAACCCACACAAAAAACAACCATCACATACCCTGACTCTCTTTTTAATGTCTCGCCACACATTCATATGGGTCAGAGCTCTGTTTGTGAATATCTGAGCCTAGAACCTACCTCTATTTCACATCAAAACACTATATAAACTCTTTCTGGACTATTCTATTTCCCTGTTCCCTAGAGTGCTTTCAGGAAAACTAGATCAACTCTGGGCGCACACTACTTACATGGTTTAACAAAAACCATGTAACAAAAATAAGAAAAACAACCAGTAACAAAAACCAGTAACAAAAATAGGAAAAACAAGCAGCTTATTATTTTAAATAAAATGATGTTTATGGGTTTTCAAAAAGGAAAGACCTAGTGTTGCAGTTCAAAAATTATGACTGTTAGAAATTTAGTCATACCAGGTTGGCAAGAATTGAAAGTATTGATAAAAATTTTGTATCTGAAGTGAGGGCAAGACAGGGAAATCAGTGAACATCATTATTACCCTACTAGAGATCCCGGAGCCAGGAAAGGATTATTTGATGATTTCACCACTCAAGGGGACATTAAAGGACATTTCCTACCCAATGAGTGGGTCTCCTGTGCTGTGTAATGTCTCACAGGTTTAACAGCTGCTACAAACATCAGCAGCAAGGAGATGGTGCCATCATCTCTGTTATATTAGGTCTTTACAGTAAATGCAATGTGTGAATAATGGAATGCAGTAATGCAAATTACCAGGCAGTGGCATGAGTGGAGACGGGCTCCGGTGACAGAGCTAAAATAGATTGGCTGCTGATGTGGCTTTGTTTTCCTATCTCTAGGGTGGACACATGGCTGCTAACAAATGCCCACTCTCTGTGGCTATCCCCAAAATAGATAAATGACCACAGGTTGCCAGGCAGCTCTATTCTGATGTCATTCCCCAAAGTGTGGACTCCAAACGCCAATGTGTAACAATCACCGGTTCCTTATTCCAGCAGTTTCCACTTAACCACATGTAAGCAACTGGTAAAGTAGTCAACAGACTTAGCTTCATTTTCTCATAAGTCATTTTTAAAATTTTTATATTAATAAAAAAGTTACCTTTAAAAAATGTATGTCCATCAGAAAAAATAGATCCTTGTATCACAGGCAGGTTTTTATTTTAATCTTGAAAACAGTATCAGCATTTGACTTACATTGGTCAAACTTAAACACCATTCTTTAAAATCATACATCAATATATATAAAGGATAAAAAAGCAATAGCAGACTGGTCAAATGTGACTGTAATTGTTATTGTAATAATGCAGGGGAAGTAAAAATTGAAGTTCAGGTTAACATAAGAAAACAAAATAAAAATGTTACCCTAAAAAAGTCAGAATTAGAGCATTAAGTCTTCATCTGTACTGTAGTGTTTGTTTTTAGAAACATGAAACTCTGAGTAATCAAAAGCTATGTTCCAGCAGCAAATATTCACTCACTGTGCTCGAATATTACTGGATTGGCAAAACTTGTTATAAAATTGATATTAGAAATGTAGAGTTGTGTGGAAACCTCGGGACACCAGTGGGGTGAATATGGCAGGGTTAGTTACCCACTTAAGTTATGGATCTGAAAATCTCGAGTTACCCAGCCATATTTGTCAGCTTAACACCACTAGGCTCCTTTATCTGGTGACCACCCTGTCACTGCAGCTTCCATTTCCTTCTCATGTTTACCATTCAGCAGGAACAACTTCTGAAGCGTATCTACCTTCAGACATCTTTATCATCTTCCAAGTGTGCCTACCTGATAGACTCTATTTTCAGTTGCCTAGAAACCAACCTAATGGGTAGCTAAACCTCACTGTTTTGTATCTGGTCGGTACTGCAGCATATCACAAATTGCTAATGTATCTTGGGATTATTTAAATCTAACATTGTTTTCAAATTAGATGTAAATATGCTACCAGGGTCAATTCTGTGTGATTTTTAAATGAACCACTTGGAAGAAGTATTGTTAGTGAGAGGCATTTACTGTCTTGGTGCTTTTCTTTATTTTAATATTATCAAATTTCTTGCAACCAGCCCTTTTCCCAGTTATTAGTGATACTGAAAATGCTGTCCTTTTGCATTTGGGTTTATAAAGAATGGCAAGGATACAATTTCCTCCATGTGCCAGATTTTGGATGTTACCTGCTTTATTTGATAGGAAGCATTATTGATCAAATACCAGATTGCAGTATAAGCACAGTAGTCCCCCTTTCTGTGCTCAGGGATACAATCTGAAGCCATACTTTGTGGCAGAAATGAGGAAACCAAAATCTCTGATTTTCAACTCTTTGGAGCACTTCTCCTCCTAGCAGTGGACTTAACCCCGCCTACTCTTCTCTCCCCTGCTGGCCAAGGCCCCTGTGACTGGCAGTCTCCCCTCCATGGGGCAGAGTTGGTCTCTGGTACTGATCATTGCACTAGCAATTTCTGACTCTCTTGGACGTAAATTGTTTTCAGTACCCTAAAGAAAAGAAACAAAAAGAAAAGAAAAGAATGGAGTTTGTATTTTCAACAAGCAAGAATCCTTTTAACAACATGATTTGTAAACTACCTTAGGCAAAAAATTGTTCTAGAGTTATGTACCCATTTTCTGATCTGTAAATGAGATTTTCGTTACTCTTCAGAATTAGAATTAATGAGAGCCCTTCAATTCTCACAGTTTTTTTTTTAAATTAGTATTATGAATTTAAAGACATCTATAGGAGGACTTTATGGACACACGTGAACTATAAAATGTTAGCATATTTCTAGTTCCTAAATTAGCATAACTTAGTATTTCATATATATATATACACATACTTTCTCATATGAAAAAATGTACAAATATATTAATAACAGTTTGGATGGTAACAGTCTCTCTGCTGTTATCAACAGTCTAATGCTTGCAATGATACAATGCAAAATGAAACCACATTTGGGAATGGCATGTAAAACTTAGACACTTTTTTTCTGGGCCAAGTATTGCTAAGGTAAGACCTTGGAATTTTTCATGACACATGGAATTTAATGAAATTTGTTGACCAAGAATGTCTTTGAACAATGCCTCTTTGATGTTGCTACTAACTGCATTGTATGTTATGTAAAACCTTACTGGGCAATAAATATGTTCTATTCTTATATGATGTTGTGGGTGTGTGCATGAGAAGCTTTATGAACTTTTCACTTTATCATACCTTTTGAGAAAAACTCAATACTTCTGGAATTCATAGCAATTTGACATTTATTCACAGTTAGGAGTTGGTAATACTAGCTGCTATTAGTCAATATCCTAACCAATACAATACAAGTGACTTGTGACCGGTTATTAGTTGAACTGGTTTTTAAGACAGCAAATGTGCTACCACACATACCAATTGTAAGGTCTTGATATATACTTTCCAGAAAATTCAGGACTGAGAGGCAAGAAAAATCTGGGAGGCTTTATATATGTATGTAAATGTATGTAGGTTTGTATATGCATGCAAACACACACACTCAGTTTCTATCCTCTTTCCTAGAAAACAAGTTCCCAGGTAGATAGATAGATACTAAAATTTTAAGGGAAAGAGAGAAAAAGATTATTTAAATCAGATTTTTTGTTGTGTTATGTGCTTGATGGTCAAAATAATGGAGTAGTGTAATTTATATAGTATAGTACTGTAGGTTGTCAACAATTTAATAAGTCGGCAGGGTAAGCTAGTGAAAGCTACTCTGCTAGAATTATTTTGGTTACATGAATATTTTTCATGTCTGCAGTGCATTTTGTCCAGTGCCATGGTGCATATAATTCTTTTTCAGACTTCATCAGACCTCCCGTGCTGTTAAGTGTATGGGTGGAATGGTGGTGGCTTGTAAGCAGGTCATTCACCCCTAAAGAAAACACTCCCAGGTCACAACATATAGCCCATGTTATAACAACAGCTGTGGACAGATTCTAGAAAGCCTTAAGCATTATAGTTCATATCAATTCTCCTTGAAATCCCCTCACTTCATCACTCAAAATGTTGGTATGAGAAAGGTTCTGATACAATTAATAACATACTTTTCTTTATTTTTTCCCCCCAAGATCAAAAAATATTTTGAACTTGAACCACTTGCACGTGGAAAACGCTGGATTCTGCAGCCCTGCTCGCTGGATAACATGGATGCACTGAAAGACAGCTTCTCTCAGCTGATAAATGTGTTAGAAGAAAAAGACCATGATGTTGTAAGAATGTGAAATCTGGCAAAGAAAATGGGCTCCCAAAAGGCCTTGAACCTATCATGTTTCTCATTTTAATTTTATTTTGATATCAAGACTTATAATGGCTTCATTATCTATTTTTCTCTAGTTATTTCAGACTCTCATCTCTCTATTAAAGCGAATATTCTGTAAATCAAGTGAATTATCATCGGCATTAACGTCAAGTACACACTACTGAGAGAGAATTTATTCTCTGTTTACCACTAATTATCTTCACCGCATGTCTCTTCCTTCTGTTGTTCTAAGCGTCTCTTCTATACTCTGTGCTAAAACGGATGGAATTCGTGGCTCACGGAAATCAAATCCCTTATGAAGGACTCAGAAAAGCTCACAAGACCTTGACTAATTTTCCCTGGGTTTGGGAGTGGAGTATTGTGTGGCTGGGACTCCACATAATATGTATATCATTTTCAAGATCTCTTGGGGGTTTTTGTTTTATTTTATTTTATTTTATCTTATTTTTGTTTTTCTGTCTTTTGTATACTGAGCTTATAGATGATGAGAGAAAAATGAGCACTAAAAACTTCAGTTAATCACCTTATCAGGAAGGAATATCCTGCCATAGCAAAATTGGCTTTGAAGAACTTAAAGACAAGATGCCTAATGTTTCCTCGATTACATCTGAAGTCTCTCTCCCGTCTTTTAAGAGCAAAGACGTTGTTTTAGGTTTTAAGAGGAGTTAGAGGACATTTAGGCACCAAGTATGCATCACTGATTACATTTGATTGAGTACTCAAATATTTTTTAATGAAAAGATTAGCCTGTATAAAGTCAAGCTGCAGTGTAATATAGGTATCTTTTTCTAAAAATTGGAAGTGTTTAATTAAAATAGAGACAATAATTTTTAAAATAGCAGAAAAAATTTTAAAAGCCAAAAGAAGTATAGTTTATACTGGTTAGAGTTTAAGCTGGCATGGATCTAACAGAGATATCAAAGACAGAATCATCTGTATATTCAGTCATTAAGTGCTGATGTAGTTTAATGGAGTCTGTTAAGCCTTCCTCCAGTAGTTAAAGGCCTATCAGTATTTCTATTATAAACCTCTATTTTCAGGGGTTTCAGTCTGCCCTTAAAAATGTGCTAGGGCTGTAGCAAATAAGTAATTTTAGAGCTCAGATTCAATCTTTGGGATGATTTTTTTTTTCATTTAATTTAAATGATAAAATTACTTGGAGATAAATGTATAGTTTTACTAAGGCTTAGCACCTTTGATCTTTTCTAAATCAGGAAAATTCTATGGATGTTGAGGTTCATAGATGAAATATTCTTTGTCACACTTTGTTGACTTTTAACCACTTAAAACACTAAGTGGCCAAATGATAGAAAACTTCTCCCTACCCCTGAGTGATAAAAACACGTTTGTAATTTTTAGGTAGCATAGATCGATACCCAAATACCACAGACTCACACTGTATTACAGGGTGATGTAATAGCTTATAATTCTCCAGAAGATATGCTTCAGGCCCTTAACATCATTCAAAGATAGTTTTTGTGGTTTAATATTTTAAGTGGATTTTAATGCCATCATTACCTTCAAAACATCGAACACTTCTTTAGGCTTTTTTCTAATGCCCTGGATCGGGAAAGATCCATAGTGATTCATATACAATTTTGTCTACAGCATCCTTGAATATTTTTAACACTGTATAATCTGTGAACAGCACCAAACTCTCATTCCGATGACCAGTTACACAATTCCTGTTTTTATTTTGTCCTGTTGTGCTCATCTTCTATGAAAAATAAATGATTATTAGGCCTTGCTTTCCCTGCAAGTTCATTAAATGTAGAATGTTGTCTTTTTAAGATCCTGTGGCTGAGTGCTCCTAAGCCATCTGTTAAATGACTTCCCGTTGTCTGTGTGTGTGTTCATGTGTGCGCCAGTGATGGGCTTCTCCTCAGACCCACGACTGTCTGCAGCGTCTCAGCCGTCAGAATGAAAACATTATCAATCAGTACCCAACAACAGCTGTTTTTGACAAGTTTCTGTCTGACGCCTAATGCTTTACAACTGTCAAGAAGGCTCCTTCTTTGTCTAGCAGGTCGGAGCTCGCCGTCTTGCTGCTTCCGTGCACCATCCTGTCCCTGTAACCCTAGAATTTGCCATGTTTGGGAAATCCACGTGGGGGAGGAGTGGGGCCTCGATGGGTGGGGGTGGGTAGGTGGGTGGGCGGGGGTGGGTGCGTATGTCATCTTCCTACTTTGGTGTAAAGTGCCACAGGTGTCTTAGTTTGCATATTCAAATATTATATAGGAAAAACAGTCTGTTATGTACTTCTTCACTTAGCTTCTTGTTATATTTATGGACGTTACCAGTTTTTGTACCTTCTTAGCTAAAGCAGTTGCCTTTTTGTAATGGCAATTAATTTATATGATAAAACTTTGTATCTACTGTAGTTTACAGTATTGGTCGCTAATTAACTGCCATATTGCCCTGTCTTTCTATTTAAAAATAATGCATCTATCCTTAGAGGTTAACAGATTCATGTGGACATTTGCCAGGCAAGGAGAACTCGTATTGTCCATGATTGAGAAATGATTTCCACTATCTTCAAAATGAAAATAAACGCTGAGTAGAACTGATGTTTCCAGACTGACTCCTTTCAGCATTAGCATTTGGGAGTCTCAGATTTCTGTTTTCATTTGTATTGCCTGTTTAAGTCTCCAAAATAAGTTCTGCTGCTCTTGGGTCAAAACAAATGATTAATTCACATTTTCTTTGAAGCCATTGTGAAAACCTTAAAAGAAAAAAAAGCGTCTTTTCCAGTTGGTTTGTCTTCAGCAGCAATTTATTTTCACTGGAGCTGTTCCTTCAAGTGTGTGAACAGATTCAAGATATTATAAGATGTCATCCTTCAATCAAAGGATCATTTTATAATATTTGCCGTCACACCAACTTGAGTGGCATGGTTTGGTACAATGAACTATTTCCTTCAATGGATTGATGCTCTTGGGAAATAAGTAGATATTTTTAAGTGATTCAAGAGGAAACAATATGGCCAATCCTTAAGGCTGAGAGTATTCTATAAAAGAGAAAATGAAAAATAAAAAATCAAATGATGAATGGAAGACAAGAAAGAAAAAAGAAATACAATAAAAGATGAAAAATTCAAATTCCAGCTTTCGCTTGGTCCCAGTTGCAACATTTTTCTGACACTTAGTATTTGGCACACAGAGACTTGCAACGCATCACTACTAAGCTGGATCCAACCTACATTCCTATTCTTGTTTCTAAGGTAGGCAATTAGCAGTTATCAGCTTCCTAAGCGACGCAAATATGGACAGAACTGTAAGATTTTGAAGCAAATGGGGTTTTCTTCGTGTCTAGATTGCATATTCAGACTTGAATGGAAAACTAATATTCATCCCTGGCTTCATCCTCTTTATAACTTTAGAGTGCATTTTCATTAACCTCCTGACCTAATGTTGCAAACAGAAATGAAAAGGTATGTGTGGGGTGGTGGGGCTGGAAGTGGGAGTTCCCCCCTGAGATCCCTCATTTTCAGTGTATTTGGAAGGGAGGGTCTGTCTTTGTTACACAGAAACTTTAGAATGCGGAGTCTCTGCCTTCCCTAGTTCCCCAGCCTAGGTCCTGGAGATCTGAGGTTTACGCTGTGAAATGCATTACCACATCATGTTGGGAATTCCTGGCTCCCTAGAGCTCACAGCTTTTGGTCACCTCTGAGTCAGCATGATTAAATGATTTGCATCTCAGGTTAAATGTTTTCCAACTCAGATGCATGAAGTGACTGATGAGCCCAAGTTTTGGCACCCTACCCCATCCCCCCTTGCACTAATTTAGAAACATGAAAAGATCCTGTGTAAGACTCTGAAGCCTCAGATGGGATATCAATTCCCCCCCCTTTCCTATTCTCTTCGAATTTAAACCTTAAATGAAAAACTTTTCTTCCACCCACTGTCTCATCAGATCTGGAAATTCTGACTTCCCTTTCTGGGAGTTCATCTGTATATCACAACCTCTTCGCTTTCCGTGAAACCAAGGCAAAGAGTTTAGAAGTCACAAAGAAGAATCTCTCCAACATACACCTTCTCTAGCATTTTCCTTTCCTTACAAAACAAGGTGAAGCAAACAGTCCATGGTTCTTCTATCAGATTTTCTCTATAATCTCATCTTGCCTTCTATTTCTGCTCCAGGAAGCTTGCTCTATTCACTGGCTCCTGGTGTAAAAATGCCACCTACATTGTTCTCAGGCTTAACCTGCCCCTTCCCTTTCCTGCTCGGCTCCTCACGTCCTCAGGTCACGCACAGGAGTTTGCATAGTGCACTCCGTATGAATAATCATTTTTTACAAGGGAATAGTATGGGCCTGTGGTTTTCAAAGCAACTTCACCTACCTAAATACCTTGTGAGGTCACTAGTATCCTGCTTGCAGAGTAAAGAAAGGGACTTCTAGATTTAGTGCCTTGCTAGGCTCAGCCAGCTTTGTAACCCAGTCCAACTCCTCATCCCTTCTGCTCTAGCTAGACATGGACCACCACGGGTACAGCCATGAAATTGCACTTTTAAAAAAAATTGATCTGCAAGCTGCCAAATGAAAGTGAATTCCCTTTTTCTTTTTTTTTTCCTCCAAAATCTCTTCCTCTTATTTTGATGCGTTCACAATATTTCTCACAAATATTTCAGCCTGATTCTTTCTAGCAGCAACATTCTGACCATGGAGGTGAGTTGGCAACGCGCTCCCCGGGGAGGAAAGCCTGGCTCAAACCCATGGGGACAAATCAAAATAAACCTTGATTAAGCATCAGTTTTTCCCCAATCTCCCTCATTTTCCTGTTTCCTCGTGGGATTGTGGGGGTGGGGGGGGGTATGGAGAGAGCTGGTCATTTTAAAAAGCCTAAGATCACTTACATCACAGGCAGACCCTTCCTGAAAGTGAAATCCAGGCTGCAACGCCACAACTTTCACTGACAAGTGATTCATTGAGACAAAGGCTGGAGCTCCAGCATCAAACAGATGTCAGACAAAACACCAAACGCCTATAAATGATTGCCTTCGCCAGCCACGGAATGACTAGAAGACCTGGCCCGATGATGTACCCCATGTCTGGACAAGCTTACAGAAGACATGGGGGTGGGGGAGCTGGTTTCAAGTGGAGTCTGCAGAGAAGGCTGTTTGTGGAGAGAGAAGCGAAACCACGGTCCTTACCTGAGAGGCTCGTGTTGAGACGAATGATTTCTGGCCAGTTTGTGTATGATACACGTAAAGGTAAATCAGAAAAACGCTAGTCAAGGGCACCCCGAAGGCCAGACTGGTGTGATATGATATTAAATCACTAGACATGTAAATACCAGCGTAAATTAAAAAGGAGAAGATTTTGTTAGAACGGAAACTGCTCACCAAAGGCAGAGACAGGAATGCAAACAGTAAGTCTGGCTGTCATTCCCTATAATCCGGAGCAAGTCAGGTTTGGCTCTGGACCTTCTCCAGTTGTTTTACAACTTTCTAGACATGGGATGTATCAACCCAACACTTTTATTAAGCAGCTTTGACAGGACTTTTGAAATGACAGCTTGTCGAGATTCAGCGTAACGTACGGTTTTGTTTTACAATTGGAATTTTTGGGTTTAATAATGTTAGGACCTCATTCATTCAACACGGTTTTGTTGAATACCTACTATGCACCAAGGATTGTGTTAGGTGCTGGGGGTATAGCAGTAGATATGACATACTTAGTCCCTGCCTTTGTAGGACTCTAATTCCTGTAACACTGGTTAAGTTGGAATATTTCTATAAACTTAGACAACATTTTTTTAGGGAGGGGGGCATTTTATTATTTAAACTGCAGTTTGAGTCTCTAGATTTTTAAATATTGGTCCTAATTTTGTTTTTTTCAGCCCCCTTAATTTAGAATTGTTTTTGAATGCTGTTTAGTCTCTTTTGAGACCATTAATAAAACTAGAAATCTAACCACGTACATAGAAAAGGCTTTGCCTTTTTTTAGCATCTTTCTAAATAAAGCTCTGTAAAGTTAGCACCTTTTATTCTGCTATTTTGCTGCTACAACAACAACGCATGTGTCTGCCACACAGAAGTGCTTCCAAAGTGCAAAACCAAACTCAATTATGTACTGTTTTTTTATCCTCCCTTTATTCAAAGGGCTTTACCACCTCTAGAACAGCCTCGTCTCATCCTTCTGTCTTGATCACACAAATGACTTATATTTGAAATGTTGAATATTGAATCTCCAAGAGGAAAATTCTTATTTAGTTGCAGTCTCTTGTTTTATTCCACCTAACAGTAAAGACTGCTGCATAAAAGCATGTCACAATTCACATGCCCAGAGGCAATAACCTGTAAGCTATATAACCCACTGGATTTTTTTAAAACCTAGTTAAGTAGCAATGGTTATCTAACTAGGTTAAAAAAAAAAAGTTACCTAGTTAGGTGGTTAACTGGGGTTTCAAGAGGGTGCTTTGTTTTTCTCTCATTGAGGATTGGGAACTTGGAGAGACTTCTTTAAACCCATTATTTATTCTAAGATGCTACTTGGACGAAGTTGTTCCTTTAGCAAGAGTTAATGCCTTTTGGATTTAGAACACTTTTGCAAAATCTATGCCAACACAATTTGCATTTGCTTAAACATCTAAAGCCTACACTATTCTTTTCTCACCAGCCCAAGGCCCATGACGGATGTCCCCCTTAGACAACCCCAACACATCCCTTTCCAGTTTACGGGCCTGGATATTCAGGTAGGATCACAAAAATTAACTGAAACAGAAACCTCTCTGTTTCCATTCGGTTTTTTAATTTCAA